TCTTCCCTGTTTTCTCGTGAGACGACGGTCGTGCATGCTTGTAGTCTAGATCTGCTGATATAAATACTACCCGTGACTCACGTGACACATGAACACCCAATGGAATTTTAATTACAGTCTTACCGTGAACACACGTAGGCACGTTTTTTTTCCGGGTTCTTCCACGCTCATTTATATTCGTATTTCAGTGAGCAGTGATTTATTCATAGTTTCCGTCTGTATCATAGAGCGCAGGATAGTAAATATCTATTTCTGTATTTTGATTTAAAAAATGAGAAAAATATAACAGTACTTGGCAATTTGCTTTCGAAATAAAGATGCAAAGTATTACCTTTACGGAGTAGATAATAATTATTATCCAATATAAGGGAAACCACAAGTTCCACACTTCTGTTATCTTTTTATGATTTCCGCGCGTGGGAATGTCACGAATGGCATTCTTCTTAATGTACAAACAAATGTTGACCAAATAATGACAAGCTTGTATTTCAAACCGATACCAGAATAAACAAGCCTTAGATTATTTCTAAACTTTTTCATATTCAGTGCATGACATTTTTTTCAACCATCGAGTTTTATATAAATCAGTTTTGATAATTTTTGAGTTATTAATAGTATCAATAGTAGCAGATAAACATATAGTGTATATGTTTATGGCATTTCGCGTTAATAAATGGCGACCAGGCGTGTTCGGAATCGAGTATACTTCGTTATTTGAGATTCATGGGTGCGAGCTATCTCATATTGTGGTCACGTAATTTGAATAACAAACAATTCCAATGAATGGTTGTCTGATTTCTACTATTTTTTTCTTGAGAGACACTGTAAGATTTTTGCGCAGACCGAATCATTACAATTTAGGTATTATTCTCCGATTTGAGGTAACTGTGGGAATATTTTCATCTGCTATCAGAGAAATGGCGAAGCATGTGTATGTTGGTTTTGAATGCCCCTACTAAAACAAAAATCCAGCTATCACGATCCATACCTTGGCGTCATTAACCTTTTTGACACTTCACTACAAATAATAGATTTTCCCGCCATTTTATTGCCGCCTATGCATTCCTGGACGAAAGAATCCTCTACCTAGGAGACGTATCTATATTGGTATGGTAAAATTTGGATGACTACACATTATATGTGACCACAATTTAGAGATACATCAATCATAGGTTATGCTTTCCCTCATCGATAATGCGTGTTTAGGTCACAGTGAAATGAACTTATGGCGAATGGTTTCGCCGAGAGCGTTAAATTATGATCAAATAGGAAAATGTTACATCGTTAAATCAAAAACAGTCCAGATGATGCATTCTATTGAAGATACACTTGACCGCTCTTTACGACAGTTGAATAGCAGAATAAATACGACTACCAAACACATTTCTTTTTCAAATTGCCATGATTATTTGAAATAGACCAATATATTATATCGATTATATTAAGCTGTACACAAATAGTTTCAGGTCTATTTCGGCCTTCATCTACCATGGATTGTACTTTACACACATGTTATCACTTAATATAAACCCATCTGGCTTGTCTGAGACAGGAAATAAACTGGTTGTTACTGTAACAATACGTTATTTGTAATCAGCGGATATCATCCAACGCGATATTCGATAGATGACTATATCAAAACCTTTTTACTCACTATCAATAAGCCGATAAGTGCTTAGAAAATACAAAAAGTCAAATTAAGCCATCTTCTTGCTGTACAGACGATTTAGACACAATATATATATATAGTAATGCCAATTTCCGCTCATTCTAAAGATTATACAGCGCGTGTGCAGTTACAATAGTAACACGATTTAATACAAAATAATGAATGTGAATACGTTCCTTTTATCATTTCGTCTATTCAGTATGTGCCTACTTTGATGATGATAAATGACTATGAATTTCAATCACAATGAAATAAAAACGTTTTGCGCTGCATTCAAACAAAGCCATGAAATGATCACCGAAATAAATAAACACATATAAGGGAAGGGATGGGATGTATTACACAATAATTCAAGTTATATAATAATCGCCATTTTTTTGGGTTTTTAACTGAGGTTACGTACATAAAACGTACGTTTTATACGTCATTCATACTGAAAAAATACTCTGACCGAGTTGCACAATTTTAATGCATCAGTTTTCCAAATATGTATACAGTATGAAAATGTATTCAGCGCATGCGTAATTGAATACATTATTAGCAAATGAACTATTTACGCTTAGCAGCATTATTAATAGCACTATTCCAAATTTCTTACTAGTAATTCAACACATTTGTGTTAAAGACGAAACAATCCGATCAATTACATAAAGTCGTCTGAACTCGATAAAGTGCTTATATATTTTTGAAAAGCGAAATAACATATTACTCTACAGACACAAAATCAAACACGACGACCGTGAGAAGATGCAATTCAACGGACCAGTCAACTATATTATTTGGCAAGGTTAGATGTGTTCTTACGCTCAACATACATGTCGAGAAATCATAACGCGTACCCATTGAGAATGGGTACATACAGAATGTTTCCGATCAACGTACTCATTGTCAATTTGAAAACAAAAATGAACAGCAGGTGGGTCTGTAACATAAAAAAGTACTTGAAAATAAACGTATATATCACAAATGTGAACCCAATCTAGTTATATTCGACGAATAGCTTTTAATTAAAATAAATCAAGTCATGGTAAACAACAGTTTCCAATGTATTCTTATCAAAGCAAACCCTGAGTGCAATTATTCATACAATCATATCATAATATTTGCATATTATGAGATAACAGATGCCGATTTCGCGACAGACTTGCGTTTGATAGTAAGTCAAATCAAGATATGGCACTTGTTCAACCTATATGGAATTGCATCGCTTCTTATAAATAGAAAAAGGGAAACATCTAAACTCACCGAACAACACACCAGTATTTACCTTTTAGTTTGCTCAAATAAAAATCTGTAAGAGCTAATTTTAAACTATACCCCTAATTATTTGTAACCCCTAAACATGAATATTAGTATATTACAAGTATAACTAAATAAATGCATAAAATAAAATGAATGCATGCCTTAAGAAAGACCAGCTAGCTTTGTGAAAGATTTTTTTTTGCTTTTGCAACCAAGTTTTTCCAAGCTGGGGTCCATGACACACTTGATTAAAACAATGCCTAAATATTTTGTTTCATTACAGTCATCGTAAGACTGTTGTAAACCATTCTTCACGCGATCTTAAAAACTCCCTCGACTTCTGAAAATTTGTTTTGTCGAAATTAATCTTAATACCCCATTTAGTACAACATTTCTTCAAAATGGTTTAATTTTCTTTGTAAAAGTACGCAACATTAGCAACATCGTCAGCAAAATCGTTCCAATATTGTAACATCTGAATAAATTACCAGACCTGTTACAGAAAACAGACGGTTGAATTTGGTAGTACATTGAACACATAATACCCATGTAATCAACTTGTGAATTAATAGGACACTTATTACGTGATTAGACGCTTTTAAAATAAATACACAACCTGGATGAATACTTTTGAATAAATGCAGTGAAAATGTATTATACACAGTACTAGTAGCTTCGCGATGATTGGCTTTCGTGGTGAGTGCCAGAACTTGTTTTTTTATCGGATTTGAGAATTTTTGAAACTGACGGTTTAGCAATATTAGGGATTGTCAACTTGCCCACGGGTCTACAGGGTTTTTTTACATTTCATGTATACATGTACCATAGTACCCATAGTATTTTTTGCTTACTGATTTGACTACACTGTGTACTTGGCAGTTTCCATTCCTTGTATACTGTGTTCTCCAGTATAAATATCTGATATTTCGGGAGCATAAAATGGTAATGTGAATTGAATACTGTATGGTAACGCCATCTACAGCATGTCCTACCAGTTATTCAGATTCCCATGTTGACTATGTTCCGGACCGTTTACTTACTGATCAGTGTCTGACTGGTATATATACAAAACGTGACCAAAAAACGTCAGAGAGACACATAACCAAAACAATCTGTCGCCTTCCACACCAACTGTATGATTTTACACATAGAAATATAGCTACGTGTTCACACGAACAGTGAAGCGGGTATAACAAAACATGAGCCAACACATCTAAAATAAATATGATAGCGAAACTAGCTGAAACCCTTGACCTAAGCATTTTCATCGAACTATTCCTGTAATACCTTACTACAGAGATATTCAAATCAGCTGTAGGACAGAACTGTGTATCCACCATATTGAATTTCGCAAAGGAGTGTGGGATGGCGTTTGGGGAGTGAAACTCATATCTTTTCCATAAAGCAGTGTGCTAACATCAACTATAAAACTCAAAGCAATACGGTATTTTTTGTATGTTTATATTCTTGGACGTTAAATTAATTTTAGCGAGAAAATTAATTTAAAGATTTGATGTTTTGGACTGCAAGCTGTAGAAAGCATGGAGATGGGCAAGTGTGTTCGATTTCCACTTTTTTCATTTATTCGAAGATGAGTTTTATTAATTTCCATATCACAGTGAGAAAAAATATCTATCTACATCCGTCTTCTACTAAAAGTTGTGTTGCTCTTAAATCAATTTTAGCAGACATGAGTGGTGACAGTGTCCAGAATCAAAACTATGGAAGACTTCACAGTTTGTTTTCTTGTATTTATCTTAGCGTCCATCCCTAGACCGCTTTACATTCATGTTCATGTTTGATAAGTGTGTGTACTTTTCGGGATATGGGGTTAATTTCAATAAAATATACCATTATAGTATCTATTAACTATTAAAATAAATCACATTACTTTGTCAATTTCAATTTTTGAGATTAAAGGTTTTCAATGAATACCTCAAACATGTGTAATTGGAATTAAGTTGTTCAAGTGATATTGCAAATAAAAATAGATTAATTTAACCTAGACAACGTGTGTGATGAACTACCTACGTCACTATCCAAGAACATGTACGATGGATAAACAATGACGGCTTTCACATGAAACCTGCTAAAAAGTTATAAATGACATGTCTGTCATTTGAATTGGATTGTCTACTCGGTGGTAACTCATTAAATGCATGAGTTTACTACAATCTGGCAAATTTTGAATAATTTCAATATCTTCGTACAGCAGTCTAGACCGCCACGATTGAGCTGCAACAGTGGAATTCTTACTTAGGCTCATATTACCCTTCGATTTTACATTATCCGATTTTGTATTCTTATCAATCCAATCCTTGACACTAGCAGGCAATGGCAGATTGAGAAATTTGTAAATTCTATTGGCTGAGTTAAGTGGTTCTACTGCAATATCCTCGTACCGGATGCGTTTATATCTACCACGCAACCAGTCAGGCAGATTTGAGCTGAACTCGATCATTTCTACAGCGCATTGGCAATATTCTTTCATTGGGTCAATAATTATGTTTGTAATTGTTTTATTTACAGAGCCCTTGTGGAAATACTTTCGTGAAGATGCAACTCCCCGAGGATCACGGATGAGGTGGAGAACCTTCAAATTTATTTCATCTCTAACTGCCAGTGGTTGTAATAGTTCTAGAGACTGTAGACGTATGACTTTCATGGCTACGTGTTTATACATATCACATGTCTCAGCCAGTACTTCCGGTGTCGTATTTGCACACCCTCCATGTAACATACACGCATTCTTTAGCGCTTTACTTTCATACACAGCTAACCCCCAATGTCGGATATGATGAACAAAATACGCTGGGAATCGGCATGCAAAAATGTCTCTCAGCAATTCTAATTTGGTTGAATTCTCCAGGTCTTTTCCGATTGCATCAACTGCTATTATGTCTCGAACAAGCCTGAATGGTTCAAACAGATAAAATATATCAGGATTTTGATTGAGTAATTCGCCAGTAAATGTCGATCCTGTCCGGAAAGCAGCAACAAGTGCCACTCGTGTTCCGTCTTGACCAATCTCCGTTTTCTGATTTCCCCCACCGGTTGCCATGGTGTCATCGATCTTAATGGGCGTGCATTTCGCCATGGTGTTCAGAATGACGGCGTAGTAACCATAGTAAAACACAATGGTGGGTATCAGTATCAACAGCACAAACGCTACCTTTGTGTACCCAGATCTGAAAATTAAAGGAGAGTCCGAATTTAGTTAAATCATTATTTGATTGTAGAGTGACGTCACGACTACAAAGTTCCAGACGAGATATCTTAATGAATGAGATATTCATTCATTCATTCATTCATTCATTCATTCATTTATTCATTCATTCATTCATTCATTCATTCATTCATTATCAAGAGGCTCTCAAAAGACGACACTACCTGGTTCTAAAAAAGTCCCTGCATAAGAGTTGTTAGCTTTCAAAATGTCCCAACGATTCCCCAAACATGCCCCTACCACCAACACATTGTGAAAATGACACTTAACTAATAGCATAATATTTTTGAAATGGCAGATGAAATTTTAAATATGCAATACGGACATTGAAAACATAATAAGTTCCCCATTATTATATGCAGATGAATGAAAATCTATTTAGTCCACACTTCTGTAAGATAATATAAACCCAAACAGATACAGATACACTTTTAAGGAATGTGCATAATAATAACAAAGGTTCAGTGGACGTACAGATATAAATTTGTATCAATTTATATGAATAACAAAGGCCGTTACAATCGCCAGCGACGTAATCAACGATGATTTGGGTGGAAGTAATGACGTATGTGGATGAAAGCAATGACGTAGATAGGTGAAAGCTATGACGTATGTGGATGAAAGCATTGACGTAGATGGGTGAAAGCTATGACGTGTGTGGATGAAAACAATGACATAGATGTGTAAAAGTAATGAATCGGACATAGATTTGTCTAAGCAATGATATTGAAGAGACCAAGTAATTATGTTCGAATAGACAACAATTTGTTGGTGTGTAGTAACAAATTATATGGCATTGTATACATTGCATGTGTTTCTTCAACATTGCCCTCTCAATCATTATGTTAGGTGGTCTGGTAGGGATTACGAAACGACTTCGAAAATTGACCAGCATAATTTACATATTTCCCACATCAACATAATAGTAGTCAGTCACGAAGTCACTTTTGCATGCATTTGTTCCCGGAAATGGATATAACGAAACATGAGACAACATGCTAGTAAAGTCCTGGTATCAAAGGAGTTTCATTAATTCATTCGTTTAATCATTCATTTATTCAAATTTCCATTAAGGTGTACACACAACACGACACCATTTGGTGCTCGAACCAGAACTACATACAATCGCGTTATTCTATTTGTTCGTGTCTATCTTTTAAAAATCGTCTAGTTTATAAACATATGCATAACATATGACTTTTAAACATTTATGATTACAATTGGCAGATGAAAATTTGAATTAAATATGCAATATGGACAGGTTTAAACATGTTTTGCTGTGCAGTTGAAGACATAATGAGCTTTCATTTGTGCTATGACATGCAGAGAACTGAATATTATATAAATCCGAACAGATACCGCATTTTTAAGAACAGCGATTAATAAAAACAAATGGACCAACAGCATAGGTTTGTATAAATGTATATGAATACCAAAGGCGATGTGCAAAGCAATGTCATATAGATAGGTGAAGACGACGTAGATGTGCGATGGTGATGACGAAGATAGAAGAGAACAATGACGTAGATGAGTGAAAGCAATGAATTAGATGATTAAAGCAAGGGCATATGTGGGTGAAAGCAACGACATAGATGAGTGAAAGTAAAGGCTTAGATGGGGAAAGCAATAATGTAGATCAGTGAAAACAATGAGGGAAATGGTTAAAGCTACGTCAAAAATGGATGAAAGCAATGACGTAGATGGATGAAAGCAATGACGTAGATGGATGAAAGCAATGTTGTAGATGGATGAAAGCAATGACGTAGATGGATGAAAGCATTGACGTAGATGGATGAAAGCAATGTTGTAGATGGATGAAAGCAATGACGTAGATGGATGAAAGCAATGACGTAGATGGATGAAAGCAATGTTATAGATGAATGGAAGCAATGTAGATGGGTGAAAGCAATGACGTACATGGATGAAAGCAATGACGTAGGTGGATGAAAGCAATGACGTAGATGGATGAAAGCAATGTTGTAGATGGATGAAAACAATGACGTAGATTGATGAAAGCAATGTTGTAGATGGATGGAAGCAATGACGTAGATGGATGGAAGCAATGTTGTAGATGGATGAAAGCAATGACATATAGAAGCGTGAAAATAATTAGTCAGACATGGATTTGTGAAAGCAATGATATTGAAGAGAGCACGCAATTATGTTCAAATAGAGAAAAATGTGTGATTGTGCAATCGTTCATATTTTTAGAAGTTAGTAATTGCAAACACAGATTTGTTCTTGGCGAAAGATTAAAATATTATTAGCGGTATGATCCGTGTTCCTTACATACTAAACTGATACTTCACTAGCCGTATTGATATGTGATCAACATTATTACTCACGTAGTGTAGTCTATTCTCCCTAAATATGACAATTGTCCAAATAATTGACTCACGTGTGTACTACACACACAAGACTTTTTGAAATACAGATCTTATTGTACGTTTATTAATATACATTTCTTCATCGTCATTCGAGCCAACGTTGACGTGTCCGCTTTCCAATATATGCTGATTGATCTATGGTTTGATGTCGTTTGACCAAAACAAGGGGATCGAACGACTCGCACATAAAAGTGATTTGGAGATTTACTTCAATGATCGTGCAATAAGTATGTATCTGTATCTACTGCAGTCGTGTACAGTACAACACAAAATAGAAATGTATACATTACATGAGTTTCTTCAACATTGTCCTCAATAATTATGTTTAGTGGCCTGGTAGGGATTATTGAACGATTTCAGCATTTAAAGAGCATCTGAATTATCCACGTTGGCCGGCGTCACCAGTAGGATATGCATATTTTCTTCCCACATCAACATAATAGTAGTTAGTCACGACGTCACGTTGCATGCATTTATCCCCGGAAATGAATATAACGAAACATGAGCGAACATGCAGTAACGGTTATCATCTAAATAATTCTATTTATGTGTATCGATATTTGAAAATTAAAGGACAGTTCAAGTTAATTAACCAATATTTGGTTGTTGAGTGACGTCACGACTACACTGTCTTAATGACTGCGATATTGGCCCACTGGAATGTTGTTGTTATCAAGCGCAGCCATGTGGCGTCTAACTCACTAGAACAAATCTGAAATGGAGATCGCTAGACAATAGCTACAAATGCGACAAATTGATGATTTATGCAAACATGATGAAGATGCTAAGAACTGGTAACAACCGAGGAGCTGCAATCATTCATTCATTCATTCATTCATTCATTCATTCATTCAATTTCTATCAAGGTGTACACATAACACGACACCATCTGGTGCTCGAACCAGAACTACATACAACAAGTAACCTGTAGAATGCTGTGGGGGTAATATTTTTATATTGATTTTTGTTGCATTTGCAGCAAATAGTTACCAAACAATGTGAAATCTATAGGATAGGATGTACTTCTGAACTGGCTTCACATGCATAGTTCAAGCCTGCCTAACCGGTGCTTATACCAGGATTTAGTTACAGCATCTAGACGGACTGTGGTTACAGCTTTATATTCCAAGTAATCGCAAGAAACTGACATTACAATATGAAATAAAACACTGACACTCTCATGTAATTTATATCAAACCCCTTAAAACAAACTCCTAATACCACGCTAAAGCTTTTGGTAATCACGCTTTTCTGTTTGTCCCACTATGGACATGTTTGAGCATGTTTTGTTTTGCAGTTGAAGACATGATGAGTTTTCATTTGTGTTATACAGCAAACTGAATATTATATAAACCAAACAGATGCCGCACTTCTATCGCATATTTTGTTTTTATTGTGCCACATTTGAGAGTGGACCAACAGCCATAGGTTTGTATCAATTTGTATGAATAGCAAAAGCCGTTACAACCGCCCGCGACGCAAACAACGACGAATATGGATGAAAGTAATGACGAATATGAGTAAAAGCAATGACGTAGATCGGGGAAATCAATGACGTAGATAAGAGAAACAATGCGGACCATTGATGAAAGGATTTGTTAGTGGGATATTTCAATTGGTGTCTTCTGATTTGTATAAAGTTATTAGTTTAATTGGTATGCTTGTACAACTAGCATAATTATTGATTTTTTTTAATTGAACAGGAAGCTCTTTAACGAATATCTTTTTAGGGATTTGACTAAAATCTGAAGAGTCTGTTTGGAAAGCAGTATAACGTAATTTCTTTGAAATACCAACTTTGGAAAACTACTGTAAAACATGTTGAAAAAGCGGAATGTAATTTTAGCAAATTGTGGTAAAATGACGTAATAGCGAAATGTTGATTTAGCGAATCTCTCTTGTCATTGTTGATTTCTTTTTTTGGCGGCCATTTTGAATTGATAATAAAGTCATTAGCGACATCTTGAATTAGTAAATCAGTTCTCTCGCTAAATTCGCGAAAAAGACATGCTCGCGAAAAAGACATGTTTTACAGTATAATGAATGGTTTTCCTGGTGTTACACACAATTGTATTTTGGCTGCAGGTGAACTTTGTACACTGCTTTGTCTCAGTGATTTCACGTGTGATTTGCGGGACAATGTCTCAGCCCAAAAAACATCAGAATGCATAACAAAAAGTAGTACTTTCACCATTTTTAAAATTTGTTTTATGTATTTTGTACCGAACACTAGCACCAGAATACTCCATGTTAAGCAGTAATTAGAAATGTATAACCATGTTGCTTGGAATGAGGTTATTTGAATGCCGAGGAGTGTCTGAGGTTTATTTTTGGTGAGTAAACAGCCTAATACTGAGTATACACTCCTTAACCATCTTGCAAAGATGAAAATAAGATTATTTAGGCATACTTTAATACTAGTGTTTACTGTATATTTTCTAATATGAGAATAGTAAAATGAAAGTAATTTTGACTGACAAAAATTATATGATGAAAATTATTATTGGCTTAATTATTAATTTGTTTACTTTGTTGGCCGTTTGTCCGGTCGCCATTACATGTAACAGATTAACAACAATCAGAGAACAGTAAGGTTGTTTATATTTTCTCGTAAAGCAAGTTATTTGCAATATATATATATATATAAATACATGATTTTCGAGGTGGCACATTAGTTTTGGTTTCGCTGGTTCCGGTAATTCCGTATGCTAGTGCGTAGGGCTATGTCGGGACATTTTCAGTAGTGAGCCCGACTAACGCAACACTGTACTGAAGGGTAGTATGTACCTTAAAATGATTTTAGTTCCGGCTATATACAATGTCAGGCCCTTCATGGTATTACGCCGTCATCATGGTTACGATGCGTTTATTATGTTCAGTAGAGTGATCGTATAGAAGTCATGTCCTCCTCGTTCGCACATTGACCGACTGAAAAATAGACCATGTTATAGGCATCAATTTTGGTTCATTTGTTAGCGTTAGTGTCATTCTACGACCTGCATATTTATCCTCATTTGCTCGATTATATATAAATGTGTTCTAACCACGCCGCTCGTCGTTGTTGTTAGGTATTTTTTTCTGCTGGCACTCTGTGCCAATACTCAGAATGGCAGAAAATTTCATTACAAACGGGTAAAAGTGTTTGCTCTTATTATTGCTCACCAAAGCGCTGAAATAAGTACTCCCCCCTGCTGATTCTTACAATAGCTAAACGATGTGCACGGAAATGGTCTTTTTCCGAGTAAATAACCAGTAACCAATATGATGTGATACACCTGAAACATATACATCCTGCAAGAACAGACATTGATCGAATGAAACATAGTTCATGTTATAGGAAATAATGTTGGTGTTTGGAAGTTATTAAAATTGTTGGTGAAACAGATCATCGTAGAAAACACGACATGGCATATGTATTAACTTTTGCTTGATTATATATAATTAAGTTATATTCGTTCCATCTGCCGTTGTAGGTGATTATTTCTGCTGGTACTTTGTTTACCCAATACTAGGTTTTGCTGTAAGTTACTACAAACAGACAAACGTATTTGTTTTGTGTTTGTAAACGCCGAAATACATACTCCCAGCAAACTCCGTGCAGTGCTCAATGATGTGGGCGAACACAGTCCTTAACAAGTAAGTACCAAAACAGTAGTTTATATATGTGTCGTCAGACTGATGAGGTTACGTTCTGGGTGCGGTGTTACTTCTAAAAGATGGCTAGCGTTAACTTATTAATATTATTACGTACTTGCATCATTTACATTGCGTACTTGCATCATTTACATTGCGTTATTTCAACTTACAGTGTGGTTTAGTTTTAGCTTCTCTTCCCGCGCCTCGCGACTCAAAACACACTATATGTACATGCAACATCGGTAACAATAATCTCTTACTACGACATCGGTTTCAAAATATATTCCGCTCAGTCAATGTATTGAATGGTCATACCTACTACAAGTGTATTAACATATACACTAACAGAAGAACTATTTGAACGACAGTAACGGAGATTTAATATCTGGATTCATTTTCAGATTCGGATTCAGAATGAAAACCAGCACGATAGTCGTGTCGCTGGCCTTCGTTACCGCCATTGTGTTATATTGTAGTTACCACGTTGTTGATCGTGACAATATGTCGATATTGGATCCATTAACCGGCGTAAGTGACATATTGGTAAACAACGATGTCGTAAAAGAGAATGATGGTCTTCGTATTGTGCTTGTTGCTGCATTTCGAACAGGTTCAACATTTACTGGTGAATTGTTAAATATGAATCCAAACATATTTTATTTATTCGAACCGTTCAGGATAATTCAAGACATTGTGAAACGTAATGCTATTGGGAAAGACCTAGAGAATTCAACAAAATTAGAACTGCTGACTGACATTTTTGCTTGCAGATTTCCAACGTATTTTGTGCACCATATTCGACATTGGGGGCTAGCTACCTATGAGAGTAACTCATTAAAAGATGCATGCATGCAACATAAGGGGTGTAAAAATATGACACCCGAAGAACTGGCTGAGACATGTAAGGGGTATAAACACGTAGCCATGAAAGTCATACGTCTACAGTCTCTGAAACTATTACAACCACTGTTAGTTAGAGATAGCATGAATTTGAAGGTTCTTCACCTCATCCGAGATCCTCGAGGAGTTGCATCTTCACGGAAGTATATGTACAAAAATGCTGCCAATAAACCTATCATGAAAGCTGTTGTCGACACAACCAGGAACTATTGCCAAAGCGAGGTAGAGATGCTTGAGCTCAGTTCAGTGATGCCTGACTGGTTGCGTGGTAGATATAAACTTATCCGGTACGAGGATAACGCTATAGGACCCCTCAAGATGGCCAAAAATGTGTACGATTTTCTTAATCTCAAACTACCTCCAAAGGTAACGCAATGGATTAATGAAAACACGAAGAGCGATGTCACACCAATGGGTGTTATGAGTACACGTAAGAATTCCTCTGCTGCGGCCCAATCGTGGCGGTTTAGGCTGTTGTACAACGACGTTGAAGTTATTCAGAACTTGCCTCCTTGTCATAAACTCATGGAAATACTTGGATATAATCGAATTACCAGTCCTATTCAGATGTACAATATGTCATATATATCCTTTTAAATACGCAATCTGGACGAGAAAATGTAATTTGTAGTATTGTTGGTTGATACTTTGTATTGTAAGGTATATTTAACTATGATTTATCACTGCCTTATACGATTGTCAAAACAAACTTATTCCACAATTATACAACATGCATTGTACACTAAACAATATGGAAAACAACAGGCTTTTGGATAATTTGTATTCTCATCAAAATGTACAGTGTTTTTTCCTACTGACTATAAAGTTAGTATTGTCATTTGTACTGTGGTACGATCAGCGAATAAGCAAATTCCGGGAAAAAAAATATTTATCGCAGTGGAAGCCCCAAATCGTTTGTCCAAATTCATTTCATACTACAGCGATTTCAAAAAAACAAAACAAGAAGTTTAAGAATAGAATAACATGATTTATTGCCGTCTCTCTGCATTCTAATTAACAACATGGAAACAGATTTTATACAAGTCCAGGGGTCATGATAATGAGGTCAGTTAACTGGTTACCGGGTTATTGTTCGTTACAAACTGAGGTTGTTTATTCAACAATGCATGATGTGGGTTTTACAATCCAATGGGAACATACTGCGTTGGTTACCGATTTGTTGACAATCCTTTTCAGACTGTGTGATTGAAATATATCTTATTTCCATAGAGAGTAATGTGGTCACTACAGAACGAACAATTTTGTAACTGCTTCTGCTGGCTACCCAAACAATAAATTTATTGACACAAATATTGTATTATTATCATGTTATTATCAATTATCAAAATTAACATATGCATTACATTTATTTTAAACTCTGATGGTGGAACGGTGTGTTTGACGCTTTAAGTGTGGCTTTTATTTAGCATAATACTAGTAGTTAAAAGGCGGTAGTCGTCACGCCACGCATGCGCGAGATATATGGGTCTAATATAAACAAAGATGGCGACGAGTACAAACTGAGACATTACAAAGCTTTAATTAGGTATTTTCAGGTGATTGGAAGGTATCGAAGGAGTCAATGGTGGTAATTAGTGCAAGTCGCGCCCAGGTCAAACCTCATGCTTGTGATTTCAATTAGAAGAGCGCATTGGATTGTGGGAAAATCAATGTTTATCAACACAAATGTTGCACATGCGCAGCGCGACGACCACCACCCTTTAAGGTGGATTCAACTCCTACATACATGCCACTAGAGGGCGCAGTTCAGTTGGCACTATATCTAAAAACGAACACAAATCGGGTAGTGCATTTATATAAAATTCCATGCTTCTAATCAAAAGTGCATAATGATATTGTTAGTGTTTATATCACATTCAACTACACATATTCACTGTCAGCTGGCGTACACGTGATAATAAAATAAATGCGATAAATTTGCAGATATTTACTATAGGGGGTAAGTACTAGTCATCTTGAATACGGCTTGAGACCAAACAGACCGGGATACAAGTACCAATCATTCAAAGCCAAACGATTCGCTTGGGCGGAATTTGTGGTTTCTGTGTGGAAAAATCTCTTGCATACGAACATCTAATTACACCATAGAAGACATTTCCTGGGTATCTAACTGTGAGGCCGTCGCTGACTGGCTCCCGACTCTTGGATGCCGACGATTTCGGTTTCGCATTTAAAATTGGTTTATTGTCTCATACCATTTGTGATATATTGCATCATGTGCAATTTTCGGAGATGTTTTGTGGTCAATGTCAATGAGATCGCCTACAGCCTGTGAAGTAGTGTCCATTTCAACGAAGTATAACGATATAAACGGTTGCTGTTTGATTGGATGGAGTAGTAGCTGGTTCTGAAAAAGCATTTTTTGTAATATCGAGGTAACCATTGAGGGGGGGGGGGTGTTCTTGCACTTTCACTGTCACTGTCAGTACACAAGGATGATATAATAAATCTTTCCCGAGTTCCGTAAAACGTTCGATTTTGCCGTGTGAGGGCGCTGCAAAAGACGTCATTCGCGTGGTTCGACTTGCTCGGAGTTAGCGTACAGTGGGTGGGGGAGCAAAGTCAATAAGGCAGCTACATTGATGTATGCGAGTTAACTGAATGGTGACATCATCGTTTAAAAAACTCGTTCATTTGACACATATTGCATAAAAGTAAATAGTAAAATTAAACATATTGCAAGATACGGTACAAATATGATATGACTTGTCAAGGTTTCCACGCCTACAAAAGCAGCGTAGTGTGTCAACAGGCACTAATATTTGAGCCAAATTAAAAATACTGCCGCTATAAAATTTTGGGTTTTGCATAATCACTATTTTTTTTATTTTTTTTTTTATTTTTATTTTTTTTTCATTTGATTCGTAGAAATGTAGATAAGTAGTAGAATTTGCATTAAAAGACAAAGGATACTTCTTTACTATATATTGCTTTTTTTACAGTAATGCCCTTTTAGACAGAAATAAGAAAACAAGAATTTACGAGCACCGTGATGCCGGAATGTATTGATGCGACTTTCAGATTGTAAACTGTAGGAAATAATCTCAAACTGAATTATTAGGTGATAAAAAACCGAATAATTTAGAAATAAAAAAGTAATTCGTTGTGAATTAATACTCAATAAAGTATAAAGTGTCGACTAATACAGGTCTGCCATGGGTCTGTTAAGTACGCTTCTCCCGCTTACTGATGAACCGGACTTTTAGTGACCCCAGTGCGTGCGCCCGCTTACGTTTAAAATGTAATACACTTTCTTCTTTATAAAGAAATAGGAAATCGGCAACGTTGCAGAAAGCGTAATCGTAGGGAATGCACAGTCGTAGTCTAGTGTCGTTCTTGCATACACATTTTGGAAGAGTGATGATAGTTTGGTTTTCTATAAATGACGTAGTGTTCCATAAGTATGTTTCTAGAAGTTTAAGGACTATTTCACCTGATATTTCACCTGTTATTTTGACACCCTCATAGTTGAATTTTGCATTTGACGCCGGCGGATTGGTATATATGTTCATTTCTGACGGATCCCGCCAACTACTAATAAAATTGAAGTCAAGTGCATTTTTAGTTTTTGTGTGGAACATTCCTTGCATACGAACACATCATTACATGAATAACCCAGAACACTACCCCGGGCCAGGGTATTTAAAACCGAAATCCTCATCAAACTGTAAGACAGTCACTGATTGGCTCCAGAGTTGGATGAAGATTTCGAATTTACATACCCCGAGAAAAGATTTTTTTTCTTTTTTCACCAGCTGACTGTGTTCGCAATCGGCACCAATTTCGAAATCATTGGTGATGTCATTGGATGTTAACTGCAAAGCGGGTCCGGGAGAAGAGTGTTTCGTTGCTCCCTGGTGTTCATCTGTTGGTTATCCAGAAAAACTAGGAAGTTCCAGCAACAGTGACTGGGCCGAAGGAAACGGTGGTGTTAGAATTGTATAATCGGGTTTAGGTATAACGTGCCAAACAACTTTTTTTGAGGAAGGCACTCTACAAAGACAGTCGAGCTGTTTTGATCACAATGTGGCTTGTTTAGTATTTGACCAACATATGGGGGAGAGAGCAGAGATACCTCGTAAACAAATGTACAGGAACTATTATTAATACGCCCCCTCCAAAAGGACGCGTAGCATCGGATTCCGTCTAGTACCATTCGTCTAGTCTAGTTTTCATGGGTTCATTAGAAGCTTAGTACTCCGACATTCGAACAAATATTGGCTAAATTGCCACTGAGTGTGCTAGTTTCCCGTAGGATTCTAAAATGAAATACGGAGAAAACAGATGAGTCTGAAATGATGATTCTGAGAAAGATACTGTCGAATAAATAAGATATGAATAAACACAAACATACAGTGTTCTATGAACGATCAAATGGTTTAAAGATCGATAAAACGAATGATTCTCCCTCACACATCTGGTAGCCATTTTGTATTGCTTTGTGGGTGTCCAGGCCAGTTACTCTGGATGCAATCGCTGTTTCAGTTTTGTCTTAATACATATATGTAGTATACCAAGAGATACATCATACATAACAAGAGATACATCATACATACCAGGAGATACATCAAAATAGCGTTCACTATTCAAGTGTTTTGACTCAAAATTATTCTCTCAGTCGGGTGAATAAAAATATATGGCAGCTTAGTTTAAATTTCCTTAAACGAATGAATACGATGAAGCTGTTAATTTTACAAAGCCAACAACAAACAGTAAAATATGGATTTTTTAATCCACTCACTGCAAATTGTAATTACGTACGGTAAAAAATGTTTATAAAATTACCAACTTAACTAGAAGATATAACAAAAATCTCAATATTTCGTTTTTGTAATAACACTAAGATAAAGACTTTCCGTTTTCGACATTGTGAAATTCCTTTTTTAGTAGAAAAACACCTGTGAAAAAACTGATTTATATTAGAATAATTCATAACGAAACGTATTCCCTATGCACCCATAAATAACTTTCATGATTACCGATTACACATGAATATTACAGAAAAGGGATAATTTGCTATATTCTCTTTTGTCTTATATTTGTCTTGAATTATGATTGAAAGAAACTGAATGAAATTACAAAGTGTGTAGTTTGTTCAACTCAATAAATATGATTTCAAGTTTACTGTGGGGTCTTTGATAATTGCTGCTAAAATGCCATTATTTGCGCATCTTTTTAATAATTCTTATAAAAAAGCAGATTCACGGTGAATAAAAAAAAGCTACTTATTGATGACTAATACTAAAACAATTATTTATCATTTTGATACAAAATAATGTAACTGTTCCATGCACACATAAACATGCACACCATAAAGCACCAGGTTGGATACCTTGATTTAATCTCACAATAAATTTAATACAATAATAAAAAAAAATAACGTGAACGACGTTGCACTCTGTGATCATTCATGCGGTTTTATTGAGCTTTCGCGACTCTCTGTATTTGATGATTTTCCTGGATTCGTTTTTGTTATTGCTCCCCGCAATAATTTGAAACAAGTGATTTTGTGTGAATCCGCATAGGCCGTACACTATTCAAAAGTGTTTGAATATGAAATTCAGACACTCAATAAATCGGAAAGCCAAAAGAATCACACAAATTCCTACGCACTGAACATCGTTGGAATATGGACGTTTATAGTGCAATAAAATATTTTACTAATTATAAATGAATTTCTCTTAATTCGTGCAAATTCAGAGCAGCGCATATTTCACATATTGTTCTAAAGACCCCAATACTTCTGGAATAATCGTTAACATAATCATGTGTTACTATCCTTCTAATGTTCGAATTCATTTGAGAAATCAAAGTAAAAATGGTGACAATTTAAATGCTCTTCGATTGATATTTTGAGATGGACAATCTTAAAGCGGGTCCGTCGTCGCGCTGCGCATGTCCAGAGTTTTTATTTACAAACACCTTTTGTTGCCCACAATGCACCTCGCTATTTTTTTCTAATTCAAAATGGCGGCAA